ATGCTGTGCATATATAGCAGCTACTTCTGGTTCTAGAGCTAATGATAGCTTCTCAGGATTAACCTCCTCTGGACGTGGTAAAGGAGAACCAACTGGAGTGAACCTTGTTATACCAGGAGCATCAGAAGTCAGACCAGCCTATCATATTAACATAATGAAATACAAAGCATATATTAGGTTACCATATAAGCAGCTTCTCTCATCATTCTTCTTGCTCTTGCTTTCCATATAGCAGGAACAGTAATGACCCAATCAAAATCAGTTGACTTGTAGACTCCTCTTAAATGAGTCAGGAGCTTCTCCTTGAGGTGTGTTAGTATAAAAGCTATAACTTCAATAAGATAATAAGATCCACCAGTGAATGAAGAGACTTTAGTAGTACAATCTAATGACTGAGGCATTGAAATAATAAAATTTGAAGGCTTAATTAAGTATACTTTACTCACTGTATCTCTCTCTAGTAATTTCTTTATTCTTTCAAAGTAAATGAAATTTGAAGCATCATCCTTTATGTCACCATACAAACTTTGTGCTCTATATCCAATCCCAAGGACTTTGTGCTGTTGTTCTTCTTCTTCTATAATAAATATTATAGTATTAGGGACTCTTTCATAAGTTCTGTGAAGTGGTAGAACTTTTGTATCGCCCTGTGTTGTTGGAGTGGTATATGCTACTGATAGTGATGATGTTCCAAAGTCGATAGCTGCTATACACTTGCTTTTCTGTAGCACAGGAGTTGCTTTCTTTATCTTGTCAGCTCTTGTTAGTGGCCCCAGCGGTCCCTTAGATAAAGCCATGATCAGAGTTGGAGAGGTAGCTAGAAGGACTGTACTTTGTATGTAGGACAAATTTGATTGAAACTGTCACTCATATACTTGAACTTTTGTGGGGCGAGCCCATAAATAGATTCATGTATAGTGACCTCTCTTGTTGTAATCATATAGATGTTGTAGTAACAGTTTCAATGTTCTACTACTGACAATTGGTAGAGTAACCTATCACAACAGAAAGTGTGACACATGATAGTGATAGAATCAATTCAGGGTTTCCCACAAAACATGCTAAGTGAGCTAAACAGCATGAGCTTCATGAGCTGACAAACATTACAATAGTGTATGTACATGACTTTTTCATAGCATGACTTTTTCATAACTTGAAAAATTAAAAAAAAATTAAAATTTGATCAGAATCAGTTCAAACTTGCTACACAACATAAAAACATGTATATGCATCAGGAAAAATTATAAAAATTAAGAATTCTTTCCTAGTCATTTTTTGTGAAATTTGGCCAACGACCCTGTACTATATTTAGTAAAGGGATTTTGGCCCGATTTTGTAGCAACTTAAAAAATTCACAAAAAATTCAATTTTGATCGGAATCAGTTCAAACTTGCTACACAACATAAAAACATGTATATGCATCAGGAAAAATTATAGAAATTAAGAATTCTCTCCTAGTCATTTTTGGTGAAATATAACATATATTTAACATTCATATTATAGTAACATTCATTATAAGCAATGCTTACAAATCACTCCCTGTGTGTTCCACCTATCATCATGCAACTGTATACCGTATAGTAGGTTATATTTTATCTGGAAAAATGTTCGTTCTAAGCAGGATTAGAAATTTTTGTTCGTTTTATTTTTATTTTGAGCAGCCATTTGGCACACATAGCATTGAGGAAATGCCTTCTTCATTTGGAAAATATTCGTTCCACAAGGAATGAGAATGAAAAGAACAAAATTAAACTCTGACAGAATATACACCCGCTATATGGTAGCTTTAAATATAATTATTTAAATATATATTTAAATATACCTCCCCTCCATGCTACAGAGGATATGTCTGGCTATGCGAGACTATATCCAGATATTGGCAGTGTGGTTAGTGCCAATATCTGGATATTAGATCAGTTCAAAGTGTAAGGTGATTAATTTAACAAAGTGAATTAACAAAAAGAAATAAAAAACATCATTAGAGCTTGATGGTGAAATTGTACTCAGTTATATATGTAATATTTATTTTGATATCCTTTTGTTTCATTTAGTGAACTAGTGAAATTAAAATTAATTTTTGTCATGCTATAGTTGGCATCAAAACTGTTTGTTTCTCACAGGTCAGGTGATCATGGTACAATTATGGGACTCATTGCCAAAGGTATAGCTCTGAATTACCGTAGGTCGGGATATATTCGCGGCTGCTTATTTTCGCGATAATAAAAACTAATAAAAAGGTTCAATTAAATACCATGGAAACCAATCGATTGTTGCTATGACAATAAGACCACGTGTTTATACAATTACAGTGTTCAGCAGCTAATTATCTATTCTTTAGCAGCTTTAGTGGGAGCCATCCAGTTCTCCATCCGCTATCTTCTTGTATGGACCACTACCTTTGAGCTCTTTGCTGGAAATCCTTGCCGCTCCACTTGCTGGTGATAAGTAACCACGCCTAAGTCAATAAATGGGTGGAGAGTCCCAAGAATGGGCCAAGATACGGCGAGGCAGAGTGAAGAGAGTAGCTCTGGTTGAAAAAGCTCCAAAGAGACCAAGGATTAGTACCAGCAAGAAGAACAACAACACAAGAACACTGCAACAGAGTCCTTTGCTATTAATATCGCGGATTTTTCAATTAAAATTGCATCTGGTAACCATGGTAATTGCTGAGTGCGGGAAAAAATCGCGAAAATAAGCAGCCGCGAATATATCCCGACCTACGGTATCTAAAGCACTGCCTGTAAAATTTTGTGTTGGTGCAAAGAAATCATAGCCTACAAATATAACTCATGATGTTTACTGCATACAATTGATACAAAATCTTTTTATAGAATATGGGACCCCAAACCAAGTGATGGGCCCATACACTAAAGGTGACTAATAATAATTTATAACAGAGATACATGAGATGTGCCACAATCAATTGATCTTATTATTATATTTTTATAGCTGAAAAAGGAGGCTTGGACTCTTTGCAAGTATTATTGGAATAAAAGAGACTGATTTAGAGTAAATACTCTTACTAAACAATCAACTTAATGTTGTTGTATTTACAATTTGCAAAGAACCACTTGGCAGTTTTAATAATAATGTACACTATTATAGAGCCTCCAGATGTCAGCAATTTTTTTTAAACTCAAAGACTTTGAGAGGGACAAGAAAATAATGAAAATTTTTTGACACAACTGACTGAAAAAGAGCATGAATTAATAGAAAACATCAATGTCCTTTCTAATAACTGCCCTGAGCCACTAAGAGAACTATAAAATACTGATAAACTAGTTTGATATTTTATTTTTCTTGACCAAACAACCCATAATGACTAAACCATACTTATACCAAGTGGCAGGAGCAACTTGATCTACAAATCTACCAGTGAAACGACTTCCTAATACGTAATATGAATACATGAGGTAGTTCCATACTAGAACCAAGATTGCTGAAGGAGTAACATGAAGATATTAATTTTGCAACTTTCTAGCTAGCTTCTTAGCAAAATTGGTTTCCATAATTATTTCTACTATACAATAATGTAATTGAAGGCTTTAATGCGTATTGTAAATCATGTGTTTATCTTAAGTGTGATGATATCAAAATAACACAAATTTACTTTCATTATAAAAAATGCTGTTGTAATCCCAAGAGCATACAAACGCATTATATTCCTTATTAGTACATATTGTAAATGTACGTCAATACCAAATTGGTCCTTTTGATTTATGTACCGTATAGTGCTTTAATTTGGTTGAGTTATATTTTCGCAATTGGTGGTTTGCTAGTTGATTTGCTAATGTTAAAACCGCCAATCATTAATGCGAATGCTCAGTAATGCACATGTGCACAAAAATTGCCAAATTAAAAATTTCTAATTACAATTTACAGCAAAATTGCCAAAATAAAGTGCTATACTGTATCTCTGATAATGATCATCAACTATCTGAACAATATTAACTTTATTCTCTTTCACACGATATTTGTAACGTTTAGCCAGTATCACAAACACTATCAGTATGATAAGAACTAGCACACTCTTTGTAACTAGTATAGACTCTCACAATTAAAGAAAACCTTTTGAATATTGTGCTCAGTATACTGTCATTCTGTGGTAGAAGAACTATTAAGCTATGTCAATGCTTAAGTGATCACATGATACTTTAAGAAGTTTGTTCTGTTTGTTATGACATTATAAAAGTGATACTATACATATAGATGAATAAGTGAGAGAAACAAGATAAAAGAGAGACAGAGAGAACTATAAATAATGTATGTGACTTTTAGCAGATTGTGCTTAAGAATGAAATGTAGGACAGAAGCTATTATTAAGTGGTTTTAAAATGTGATACTTCAAATGACAAAGTGATGCATTCACATTAAAGATACTGTATTATGCATGTATACTTATAGGTGTGCATGTACTTATGATATGACCTTATAAAAGAAAGAGAGGTGGATATAGTATAGGTATTATGATAACACTATACAAACTATTCAGTTCCTGTTTACTCAGACCTGTCTACTCAACCATAAACAGGTGTCTCACATTTCCTCCCATTTCTGTCACTATAGCTCTGTTAACTACCAGAACTCATTTATTGGGCGAAGCTCTTACTGAGTATTTCTGTATCCGTATGTCTGGGCATGACCAGCCTGGAGGCCTAGCCATATATGGTTTTACATCCTTTTAGTAAATATTAATCTACAATATGTAATGACATCATATACACTGTCTGTTATCAGACTCACAGCTACGTGAATAGGCATCAAATGTACAGCAAAAGTACTGGAGAAATTGATGGAGACACAGAAATGGAGTGAAACAACAAATGGGAAAGGACAAAACCTATGAAATTCAGTGAGGGGAAAGATTGAGTGATATGATATTATGATATAAATCAATTACACTTCTCCATTGTACCCAAGCAGTATGATATAGTGCTTCATTTGACCATTTTTAATAGGTGACGGTTTGAACAAGTGGTCTCTTATAAATAAGACACTTTGGTGGAATAAAAAAATACAGTTAATAGTGCATGCATTGTTTGCTCCTGTTAACATTATGTAGACTATTATATACATGCCCATGAATATCTTAATGAGTGAAGATGCAGTACATATGTGGGCACTATGCCATCACCCACAACAGTCTAGTTTCCATTAGGACTTTAGTTGAAAAACCACAACCAAGCCCACCTTCAGCGATATGTACTATCCACTATCTACATGTAAACTGTCGTCAATGCTACGCGAGAATATAGATCTACTTCCTGTACCAACTGTGGAAGAGTTTGCTAAATTTTAAAGGTTACTGTCCCTTATCATAGATACTTACAGAAGATGATTGACACTCTCAATGTAGAGCAAGTATTGGACTGTAGAACTATTGTCAAGCTGCCTTGACTAATCATATCAAATATAGAAACTAAGTATTGTGTGCATGTGAATTGGGTATTCATTTTCCTTTTCTTTTTCTTAAGATAACATGGCATGTTATCATAGATGATTTATTTCCATAATATTGAGTTTTGAAGTCGAATTTCTCAAAGACAACAATTATTATATCATGCATGCATGATTATACTCTAGTAGCAAAATAATAGTACTGTATAAGTTTCTGTTAATATAAGGTAGCGATTCTTTTAGCTGTCATGGTACCAAATATATATCATACTAAACAGGTCTATATACAAAAATATAGACCTGTTTAGTATGATATATATTATACATGTACATATACATGATTATTTTATGAACTGCATGTTCACAGTACCACATAGATCTGAAAGACATAGTGTAGCATTAAACTTTTTTATTAATAGGTATAGTTTTATGGATGCAAATTTTACACATTGTACTTATTGTGAAAGCCTTTATGCTAGGTAAAAAGTTGGAGTTTATTTTCAATTGCCTAAATTAAGCCTTTTTTCCTTTAAAGACTATATAAAAATAAGAAATCAGCAGAGCCATGTGCCCATATATGTGTCATGTATTGTATTGCATGATGAATTGTGACAAGCCTGAAGAAATATTGTGCTGTTGATTGTAGTCTGGAATCAGTTCAGCAATTATTACAATAAAAATTATTTTTGACATAATCTACTGTTCAAAAAATTCTATAATCACAAATTTATCATAAGATATTTTTGAGAGAATATCTCTTATATCCTTTAATATGTTCTCATCTGGTTTCCTATCTAAGGTGTAAGTAACTGTTTGACAGTTTGAATCAGCAACCTTTTCCTTCAGTGACAGAGCCACAGACAATGATTGGCAGAAGTTCTCAAAAACATGATTATATTCATCAATATATATCTGAACTTCTGAGACCTCAAACTCTTCTGCCACAGCACGAACAAGGCTAGTATCAATCAACGAACATCCTTTTTTTATCACAGGCATTATGTGAGATGGAGCTTTAATTAGATCATTCTTTAGATCACTGTTACAGCTACCAATAAAATCTTCTAATGCTTCAAAATCATAAATACTATTCTTCAAAACTTTACCGACATTATACATCATTTTACCATAAGCAATTCTTATGGAAGAAATATCTGTAATTATGCTACGAGGAACCATAATTTCGACTAAAGAATTAAAATGATACAGAATACATGTAATTTGAATATTTCTACCTGAAGTGGGCAATTTTTGATAAGGCGAGTATTCATCTACATTAACGATTAGACAAAATTTTAACTACATGTATACTTGGTAAAGTTGCTATATACTGTACCTTCTTTTGCTTCAACTTTGACAATGGCACCTAAAAACAACAGATTTATAAATAAAACAAGTTTTAGGTGTATTCACCATAATCTCTGAGTAGAGCCTTTCCAAAAGGCTCATTCAGAGGGAACCTGCTCAATACATCAGCAAATATTTCCAGAACATAATAATCGATTTTGATAGACTTTCTGATAGCAGATAATAAGTTCTTACGACCATTATCATCGTCTGACACACTACCCCTTACTTCTGCTGTTATAATACCTTCTCCATAAAGTATATTGGCAACTGCCACAGGATCTGACAGAGAATATGAGAGAACGTTATCATGGTGATTATCAAAGGCAGCAAGAACAAGATCAGGAGTTCTTTCCACAGAAACTAAATGTACACAATTAACATCAATTGCATGAAAATATTAACTCACTCTCTTGATCTAATTTGTCTGCTATAGCATTTTCCTTAATAGATCTGAGAGCATGTAACAGTGAGGCAAAAAGAGGTTTTGTTTTACTATTTCTAATCCACTGAATGACACAATCAGTCAAAGACCTACGATTTGTCAAGTTTAAAAACAGTGGATCTAATAGTGGTTTTAAATCTAGTGCCTTTCCAAGCTCTTCAAATTTTGTCTCAGGAAAACTAAATCTCTGTAACAAGTCAATGACATCTATTATTAGTATGACTATAGAATAATAACTGAGTTTCTAATTGGAATACCTTCAATGTGTGGAACTTGTTTGTTGAATACAATTTGCTTATCTGAAAAACATGTACATACATAAAATGTATTTGATTTGTCTTTAGTTACCAGCTTTCAACACTTCACCATGTTCTGCCAAAACTTTTGTTTGTGCTGATTTTTTACTCTCAGCCAATGAAACTTCCAATGCTAGAATGACCAATTAGAATTAAATTATTCAAGTTCAAAGCATCTGGTTATTAATTATCACCTGCTTTAGAATCCTCTAACTCTTTCAGTAGTACTTCAAACTGTTTTGCTAATAATTAATTTTACTTTTAATTATCATTAATAAAAAAATTTACTAACATTTCTCCTGTTGGATCTTGTCATTTTCTTGCAATTTTAATGACTGAGTAGTTAGCAGGAAAATTTCTTCTTGCAATTCATCTATAAACAAAATAAGATATTTATACTATGAGTGCATACATTGTAGTTTGGCTCTTTTACCTCTTTTTACTTTGAAAGAAGTGATTGACTGCTCATTTTCAAGCCTCAATGCACTTAATTGCTTTTTGCTAACTTGTAGCTCATTTTTGAGCTCAGATTCTGTAGCTGTATGCAACAAGTTTCTTTTATAAGTCAAATGAAACATAAATTAGAGTATACCTGGTATTTGCAGTGACTTGGTGAGTGGATATTGTGTCCAATCATCTTTTCTCCTAAAAGACAGACAAGGCATTAAAGAAAATAGTCATTTTGCAGTCTTTTCTGTTTTCATTTAAACTCTTCAAAATGAAAAATTGAATTTTGATTTTAAGTTTTTATTTTTAATTT